CATGGCTGTGTTAAAAACCCAAATTTTTAATCAAGGAGCCTTGGAGAAATTGATCGTCTAATATTTTTAGTGTCTTGTCCTGGCCGGTTAAAAGATGCCCAAATCGTATTTTTAATCATATCTCAATTTTTTCAAATAGAACGAGGGTGGCTTATTAGCAAATTTGCAAAAAACATTTGTTTACGAATAATTTGGTACCACACACTTGGTATTTCGAATCAAATTGTTTTTATGAACCCCATGTTGCAATTTCAAATAAACCATATCCAAAAATGTCAAAAGTTGACATATGATATGTCATTCTAATCAGAGTGTTATTTTCTATCGAATAAATTAAAAAAATATTGAGGGTGTCATTTAAAAATCAAAATTTGTAGTCATTTCCGGTGAAACAGGAAAAAGAATTGAATACGTCAATCAATTCTAATTTATGTCATATACTAACATACCAAATCTCGTTTTTATCTGAAAAAATAAAAAAGTTATAGGGGCGATCCACTTTTGAGACGCACCCGGTATATAGGTATTATTAGTTGAGGTTGTACTAGATTTTATTTTTTTTGTTCAAATCTTATGTAGAATGTTGAAATAAGGACTTAACATTTTTGTTATTTTTCAATGTTCTTTTTTTACTTATTTAGTAAAATAATTATATTGAAATACATACAAAATGTCTTTTTCTAATAATAATTTTCAAGAAAGTATGTAATTTGAAATTATTGATTTTTCAGACAATTTTTTTCACTACAGTTAAACGTATTTTTACATAAAACATTTTGATGAATAAATTTTTAATATGATTATTATGATTTATTTATCAAAATACTCGTCAGAAACTAATAGAATTTATTCGTTGAAAATAATAATTTTAGTCAAATCGCTGACAGCTGACATTGCTGATAGCAGGTAGAATTATGTAGATTAAAACAAATTACTAGGACTTTAATCATTTTGTCGTCACAAATATCAATCCAAAGTAATTAAATGCAACGGTAGTAATTTCTATGCAACTTTTACCAGGGCTGATTGATTATTATGTTATAAAAACTGGGAATTTTAAAGTATTTAGTTTGAGACGTTTTAACCTCAGCGGTAAATAAAGATTGGAATAATTTCAATTACTATTTCAAGCTCTGAAACATTTAACAGTTGTTGATTGAAGAAATAAGAAGATGCGCAACCTTATGGGTGATTTCGTGACACAAAACCAAACCAACTGTCCGAGATGTACCTGGCGATACCGTCGCCGCTAGCCAACCTGTCCGAGATTTAGTTTAGCTCATCGCTGTCTGAAAATCTAGTTGAAGTCCTATAAATCAAAACGCGTTTCTTTTCGATGGTAATATAATTTCTTTTTCATTCTTTGATAGAATATTATTAACAGAATTTTAATTAACGTCATATTTTTTGCTATTTTAAAATGTTAAAGAAGCACAAAATTTATTTAGTTCAGTGCTACGGAAAGGGTAATAATAGTTATCAGAAAATATGATACTTTAAGAACATCAAAAAAATGACGTTAATGAAAATTAATTATAACGATCTATCAGAGAATAAAATCAAAATTATATTAACATAGAAACGCCTTTTAATTTTTAGGACTTCACTTCACAAATCTTCTTTAATTTTCTCTAAAACGGTATGGAAATTTCGAAAAGTTTAAACGGAATTAACCATTTTAGAACAAGCAAACATTTTTACGAAGAATGCATTTTTCTCAAAATGTCAATAATAAAAAAGTTTTTCCTCTTGTTAAGACAATCCGGGGACATACTGTAGTGTCAATACAGTCAAATTATATGGAAGGTATACGAAACGGATATGGAACGAAAACAGAAGGTATAGTGAGAATCAACCTTAAAAAGGCCTATTTACTAAATTTGATATCGATATTGATATTTCTTTAAAATATCAATACTAGTTATATCGATATTTTTTTAATTATGAACATCCCTAGTAAAAGCAATTTTTTGTGTGTATATAATTAAGCAGTCCTGGTAACTAGCGGCGATCACCTTCAATATGACTCATACATACACTATTTACCGATTATATTACTACATGTTCAACTGGTTTGCTACTGTTTGTATGAAATACCGCATTGGTGCTATGTATATGTTGTTAAAAAATATTAACAAAAAATATTAGTATTAACGTCTTTATCGTGATGAGTGCAGTAATGATATTGTCATCTGGTCATTTGTTGATTTAACATAATTAAAACAATATGGATTATGATTATTATTATCATTCAGGTAATAATTCATTGAATATTTTCAAATATAATACTAATAATTGGTTGTTTTGGAAGGTTATAAAAACATTTTTTTTTTAATATTATATGAATAGATTGATCTTTTAATAATAAAATTATAATTATGTATTGTAGGTATATGAGAGATTTCTTTTAATATTTTTATTACAATGATCGGTTTTAGAGATTTGACAATTCTAACTGATAGATATGTAGATGCTTTTTGTTTATACTTTATAATATAAAGTTTGATAATTTTCACTGTAACGATTTTCTTAAAATGAAACTAGTCTGTCCAACGAGGCATGGAAGATTTCCACAGACTACATCGAAAATATGACAGACAATAAATGTCATTGTCACATTATTATTTCTTTGGTTAGGCTATAATATAGTTGTTGTCGCTATTCGACACGGAGTATTGGAGCCAAATTATATGTGATGAGACTACTAAAGTCACAATTTAAAATTATTCTCAAAAGGTACCTTTTGTACCTTTTGAAACTGACCCAAATAAATAAAAAAATGTCAAAGTTATATTTTTTTTAAATAGAACACGCTGTTTATTATTACATTTTTAGTTTCCACGGTTAAAATAAAGGTAAATTTGATTAAGGCTTACCATACTTTAATCTTACCGTTTCTGAAATATTTACGATTGTGTGAAAATGCAGAAAAATTTTAATGCTTTTATGTCTCTAGGCGCAGGCGTATGTATTTAAATTTTCAAAACCAAATATTGTACTGAAGTTTTTCTATTTAGTAAATTTAGTGTTGCAATAATAAAAATAATACTACCTTATACAGAGTGTGAATTACTAGCTTTAAACAGTTATAACTCTTTTAATTTAAATCGAACACACTCTATTTAAATTGTAGTTTTAGTAGTCCTCCAACGATACCGTCACTCACAATTTCCAAAAATCTAATCATTTGGTTACAATAATTCGTGTAGAATAGCGTGAACACTATTAAAAATTCGAGAGATTATACCGGGTGCGCCTCAAAAGTGGCTCACCCCTATAACTTTTTTATTTTTTCAGATAAAAAAACGAGATTTGGTATGTTAGTATATGACATAAATTAGGATTGATTGACGTATTCAATTATTTTTGGTCACTTCCTGTTTCACCGGAAATAACTACGACTTTTGATTTTTAAATGGCACCCTCGATATTTTTTTACTTTATTCGATAGAAAATGACATTCTGAATAGAATGACATATCATATGCCAACTTCTGACATTCTCGCTTAAAACAAAATTAAATTTTAAAATTCAATCTAGAGTGCCCTGGTTATGTTAAAAACACTAATCCTTAATCAAGGAGCCTTGGAAAAATAGATTTGATTGTCTAACGTTTTTAGTGTCTTGTCCTGGCCGGTTAGAAAATGCTCAAATCGTATTTTTAATCATATCTCAGTTTTTTCAAATAGAACGAGGGTGGCTCATTAGCATATTTTGAAAAAGCTTTTTTTTACGAATAATTTGGTACTACACACTTGGTATTTCGAGGCAAATTTTCGTTACGAACTGCAAGTTATAATTTCAAATAAACTATATGAGAAAATGTCAAAAGTTGACATATGATATGTCATTCTATTCAGAGTGTTATTTTCTGCCAAATAAAGTAAAAAAGTACCGAGGTGCCATTTAAAAATCAAAAGTTGTAGTCATTTCCGGTGAAACAGGAAGTGACCGAAAACAATTGCATACATCAATCAATCCTAATTTATGTCATATACCAACATCCCAAATCTCGTTTTTTTAACTGTAAAAATAAAAAAGTTATAGGGGTGAGCCACTTTTGAGACGCACCCGGTATATTGACATTATATTGTTGACAACCAATTTTTGAAGAAACTGAAATTAATATTATTTTTAACCTCCCTCTATAACATTCAATCAGGTACTTTGCACAGGTCGAATACCTATAGTTCATACCAATTAAACTTTTAGTCACATGATTAAGCTTGACTAGCACAGCGTTGCCCACTTTTACATACTTTCTTTTAATAAAAATATTTTAGGAAATAAAAATGAATTAATTATAAATATATAAACAGTTATTACATTACAAACACTCAAGGAACATAAAGGACCATTATTACCGCTTTCCCGTTCAAAATATTTAATTAAGATTATTTATGATTATTATTTTTTTTTTAAGATACATACTCCTAATATTTATCTCAAGATCTCAAATATCCAAAAATATCACCGGTTCTCCATAAACTTTCAACCTACCATCGACCGTGTATTATATCTGTTTACCAACAAAAATAAAATATCAATACATATTTAAAATTAACAAATGACGCATTTTCACATACCGTTTTACAATAATTCGCGTAGGCATGAGAATATCATTATTGTACCGCACTTTACCGTTGTTTTTTTCTTTAATTTCATAGTTCTCAGCCTTGATTTGTTTTTATTTTCTCTATTAATACCTACACACTAATTACAGGCACGACATAGTCGAATAAAATAACATGAAACTCCATGCTTTAATATCGGTAATAAAAATTATTAAAAGTTATTTTATACAACTAAACATATTTCAGAAAAATAAGTACTCATAGAGAAGTTCTAAAATTGTTCGTATCACAACTCTATTTTTACTTATTTCTCTCAGACGTGCACTTCTATCTTACTATGTACTTTTTTTAGCTCGATGGCTTTGGTTACCATTACTAATATGACACAATAAGACGTTTATGTGTTTTACATGTGTATTTTTCTAGGTGTGGGTCCAGTGTTGCCAGCTGGAGGCACCAGAATGTCGAGTGCAATGATCATTGGTCTCGTGGTGTTGGCGGTGATCATAATTTTGCTCATTGTTGATGTGACGTGCTGTTTGGTGAACAGAACCGGGCTCATAGCTCTGTGCTTCGAAAAGGCTAGAAGAAAGAAGGCAGATGAGGAAGACACGAAACTTGGAAGGTAACAAAACATACAGTTTTGGTAAAATTATTTGTTAATCTAAGTATACTTCAGTTAGTGGATCAATTTTAGTATTTTTTTTTTGGATAACATCAATAAATTCAATAGAAACACTAAGAATTTTTTTTAAAAATTGAAAGAACAGTTTTTTTATTTTGCCAAAAATTAAATAAATGCCAAAATATGATATATATTATTTAGTTAAATTTTATTTATATAACAAGAGACTAAATTATCCGAATTAGTGTTTTTATTTTAAATGAGTTTAAAAAATTAGCATATCTTAACAATAACAGTACCATCTCTCAGTTATAATCTTATACCATTCGATAAAAAAAACAGCGTCAAAGAGGGCTGGGAATGACAACAATGATTATTTTGGAAAGGTCAAACTCTACACATTATTTACTTGGCTCGTACTCTTCTTTATTTTTTAATGGAGCTTACTGCCAGTTGGCCTTAAGAAGGTTTTAATTAATATTTTATTTATTTTTTTTAATAAGAGTTTAAAATTCGGGAAAAAAATATTTTTTGGAAATAATTTTGTGGAAACATTCTATCCTTTTTTAATATTTCAATAATTTGTACGTGCTAATTTTTGACAATTTTTTGTGTCAATTTTTAGCAGTGACGTCTAGAGATTGACCTCGCTAAAATTATTATCGATTGTCATTCCCCAGCCGTCTTTCATGGCGTTTTTTTTCGATCATTAGGTATTAATAATGTATATGTATAAAAATATCTAATTTATACAGGGTAAGTTTTAAATAAATGCAATATTTTTAGGGGTGGTATATTTCGGTCTCAGGAACACGTCTCTGAGGTTATTTTACAAAAAAAGATGTTGAAAATCGTGCATTCTCTTTTAAATTTTCCTGTAAGTTTTAGAAAAATTTTTGGAACTGCCTGTTTTTTTCCACGGTATAAATTCTTAATCCCTAATATTATCATGGTTATGACACAGGATGTAAATACAAAAAAAAATCAGTGGCTCTCAAAATTTTTTAGAAATAAATATTTTTTTTATTTTTATAACTTGAATAACTTGGTTATTTTGAAAAACAGTAAAGAGTAAATCTGTTTCTTTTATTGAGATCTATCAACCCTGAAAATATATATTCTTATTTAGGACTCACCCTGTAAAATAATATATCTAATAAATCTAAATTTATATTAGTAATAATATATCTACTTAATTTGAGAGGAAATAGTGCTGTTTTTGTAAAGCGATGCCTCTCTAGTAATTTACCACCTTATTATACGTCACATAACACTTCACCGGCTACTAACACACGCCCTAGCGCCTAAACTCCTCCCCCTATCACCCACACACGCCCCCAACCACGCCTACAAGAAACTCTCGCCGCCAAAAACAACTACAAAAACCATCACCGTTGCCCAATTCTAGTCTATACAGTTGGCGTTTTCCGCTGCCTTATTGCAGTTACAAGGCAGCGCCTGCGCACCCCAACAGCCTCAACCTGCCGCAGCCGATCAAACTCGCCGGAACGCCCACCACTACGTAAGATAGAGCACGCCCCCACGCTCCTCCCACTTTATAAAACACATATCCTTTGCCCCGCCCATATAATTTGAATATTACACTATCAGACTTCTTTTTTAATACGTAAATTGACTTGAGCCGAGCGCTGTAATGTAACGTTTATTCGCTGCTCGCGACGAGCGTTTCGTTGGAAATAAAATGTCGTTTTGCCAGAATGCTCGGCTCGCTGTGCTCCAATATTTTTCTAGCCTTTAAAATATCGGATCTAAAAATTGGGAGTGCTACGTTTGTTCAAACTTTTTAGCTATTTATTTTTTTTACCCTGCCAATTAACGCAAACACAATTAAAGAAGACACTATATCTACTAGATATCTGATTAGAATATGGACATTCGCCGAACCTGTACTGACTTGTAATGTAACAATGAAAGAAATTCGCTGAAAAAAAGCCGACAGTCGTGTGGAGCCCCGTTGTTGTTCGCGAATCGCTTGGTTCGCCAATTATTTCGCGGCAATCGACTAGCGAAACGTCATACGCGCTCCACAACGAATCAGGAACCTGTTACTGAAGAACGGCGATCTATAACGACAAAACTATTTTTTGTATATAAATAATTTATTTGCAAATAAATTATTTATAATCGCTCTTGGAGGAAGGTCGAGCCGCAGTAACCGCATAGCGCCGTGTTTCGCTCCAGCCGTCACGCTCCTAGGGTCGCGATTTCGTCGGTCCCGAACAGTAATAACTGGAACTGTTAAGTACGTAGCATCGCGCGATCTCGACCGCTTCGTCTGTCGCGAAGGGATGTAACTAGTAACGATCTATACCGCGATGTATTTCGCTCCAGTACTAGTGGTCGCGCGACTGTTGGAGCGCTCGTAGGGTCGAGTTTTCTTCGGTTGCGAACAGTAGCAACTGGAACTGGTAAGCACGTAGTGTCGTGCTTTGATCGGTCGCTATTGGCGTTAATGCTCCCGTTACTTTCGAGATCGTGATTTTTTGAGTAGGTCTAGGTGCTAGGCATTTTTGATTGATAATAAATACATGTTAGGTACATTAGATAGTTACAAATAAACACTTTTTCAAAAATAAAAAAAACAAAGAAGAAATATGGCCGAAAAAAAAGGAAATTTGTAAAGCTACTTTCAAATAATATCGTTTAACGTCTTGGGAGTAGCAAGGTACAGCTTGCCATGCTAGAGCCGTTCGGTATACAAGGAAGGTAATGTGGCTAACACTACGCTTCAACCGCCTATTATTACCTCAGGATTGTGAATCCCAAGTACTCATTTAAGGCTGAGTCGACCTAGGTACTCAAACTATTTTTATTTTGATAAAAATAGTCGGCTGATGAAACGCCGGGTGTAAGCACACTGTAGAACCCACTACCTTGAGATTGGTAGACGAGAGCCTGTACCTCTACGCCATCGGGCACCTTACTTTTAAATAATATAATAATAAAAATATAATCCCAATTTGCGTTATATAGTATATAGTCTGCAAAGAAAGGGAATTACATTTTACTAACATACGGGAATAAAGTAAGACTGATTTTATTTTGAATATTTGACCATTTTACTTCTAACTTTTCACCAATAAGTACAGTACGTCTGTCCGTTCTGTGGCTACGGGGTATCCGTGAGAGGGGAAACGATATTCTCTCGATGTTTTTCGTAAAAAATTAGACGACGCGTCCCATCAATAAAAATTGGACAAATTTGCAAGTAGCCAATAAAATGAGTGGGCGGAGCGATTTGCGGTGACGTACTCGTCAAGTCGACGTATAAAATATATTGCTGTTTATTTAAATGTTTTTTATCCAGCACACGAACTGTATATATAGTAGATGAAAACATACACGTTGATAAAGAAACTTAACATATGGCGTAGGTATCTCGAATAATGGTTCAAATTATGTTACTTTTTATTGTTTAAGCTAATCTAAAAAAAGTAAACAGATTTTAAGAAAAAAGATAGAAAAATATAATTATCTTACAAATGTATGTATTATAATTTAAATTCTAACAGTTGTAACGTGTATCAGAAGAATATAAATCTAAATAATATTGGCAAAAATATAAAACTTAATATAAAAAGCTCTTCTTCAGTCTGAAGAAAAGATGGCGAATAAAAAGTATTGAATACTAATAAGTTATATTATTTTATTTAATAGTTTTATTTTCAAAATTAAAAGCTAACATAACAAAATTTTTTTAACCATGTTGCTTATTGTTTACAAATTTGGGGTGTTTATGAATTGTTCTTGTTTATGAATTCGCGCGGACACAGAGATAACGGCAGGGAGATGAGTAGGTAGATACAGTGCCCAGAAATACCGCATAGGTGGGAACAGCGACACTTTGGAAGCCGGAGCCTCGGTTAAAAAATCGCGATATTTGTCTGGAACGGTCGCTAGTGTAACGCGACTAATGTGGAACCGGTATTCCCATCACTACTAGCGAATGCTTGTGTTACAAACCGTTACATTACAACGCTTGGTTCATTTCAATCTCTGCCTTTTCGCTTAAATATACAGGTTGTTCATTTGTTTATTACTCGCGGCAAGAGCTTTATGGTTGAAATATGACAACCTCGGCCCTCTCGTCGAGAGACGACGCGACGGGACGAGTCGGCAGCTTAGCTTAGTATTTATTTGGAATGTAGGCAGTGTTGCCATTCTGTTCCCCAATAAGTAACCGTCCAATTAACAATCTGTATAACATCAATTCGATTTTGGGACATTTTTGTTAAACTTTCTTTACTGAAGGATACATTTTGTTGCAAAAAAAACAACGTTAAATATTTCACTTATCCGTTGCAAGTCTGATAGTATAATATTTGATAATTGCAGCTTATAATAGTATCTTAAGACAAGTATTTTGTATTTTATTTGCTGAAATTTAGAATGCTTTACCTGCTTTACCATCCTTTTCATAAGTTTGCATGCTTGGTATTTATAGTACATATATGAAATATAATATGAAGAGCATGGTACAATGTAGTATCTTTTACTGCTTATTAGTATTTCTTTTATTTAATTTTCTTAAAGCCGAAACTTCAGAAATACAGGGTAGTCCGAACTGTATTCCGGAAACTTCGGCAGCATATTTTGCAGATAAAAATAAGTTAAAAAGTTCCTATAAATGTATGTCCTAAAATGCTTAGTTTTGGGTGATACAGGGTGTAGAAATTTTATTTTATTTCGATTTTTTCCTAATAATTTCTGAAGTAACATCATTATTTGGATGGAAATTGGTGTCTGGGAGTTTTTTGACATGAGAAATTTTATTTTTATGTCAATATGACTCCAACTTGTAGAGGGCGCTACCTACATATTTTTAAACTGGTGTGAAAAGTAATAACTTTTCGGCCGTACAAAAAAAATAAATAATAATAATGTACCTGTGTAAAACTACCGAGTAAAAAATATATATTTACGGCGTTTTTTTACGTAAAAAGGGTCTCTCGGTAAAAGTCACTAAGAGTAATGGGTCTCGAGATATTTGGAATGGAAAGAATCAATACATGTCATTATTGACATAAATTAAACATATTGACTAAATAGTTATTAGACTGAAATTATAAATTTTAAATGTTTTTGTGCCAAAAGTTCAACAGAAACTGTTTCCTCATCATTTTTTCGAAGAAAAATTTATGATTAATTTAAAAAATAAAAAGTTCAACATGATTATTATTTGTTAATAATGTATGACTATTTCCATTCCAAATATCTTGAGAACGGTTACTTGTAGCGATTTTTACCAAGATCAATTTTTCACGTGAAAGATCACGGAAATGTATATTTTTTCACTCATGAGTTTTATACAGGTACGGACGAAAAGTTATTACTCTTAAAAACAGTTAAAACACATGTAGGTGGCATAGGAGTGACAATAGGAGTCATATTGACATAAAAATCAAATTTTTCATGTCAAAAAAACTCCTAGACACCAATTTTCATCCAAATATTGACGTTACATACGTTTATATACGAAATTTTTTACTTATTTTTCTCTGCAGAATATGCTGCTGAAGTTTCCGTAATATAGTTCGGGCTACCCTGTATACGAAAATATATAACTCGCAGGATTATATTTACATGAAAAACAGAATCACAGTATACAGTGATTTGATCCCAACAAATACAAACAAAAATTAAACAAACCGTGTGTTTGTTTTTAATTTGATTTGACCACAGAGTTAAAAAAATATAATACATTTTTAAAGATTTGACGTTATTTGTGTAGTTTCAGGATATATCATAAAAGTAGAAAACCTTGTTATGACTGGTTCATGCTTCCGATGTTAACATAAATCTTAGTCTATACAGAATGTCCCAGAAATAAGTGCAAGTATTTTAAAGCGTAGGTAAATATTTGCACTTATTTAAGACTGACCCTGTGAAATCACATTTATCTGTTTATAATCCAAACATAATATATCCAAGGACTGGAGCTATATTGGACACTACTGTGCAAAATTCTAACTTATGAAAAGTTATGTTTTCATTTTTGTTGCAAATTCCACAAATCATGCACTTTATACATTTTATCGCACATAATTTTCGTCTTATTTTGATAAAAAAATATTCTTCCAACGTCCAAACCCAGATTTTTCCCAAAAAAATCGGTTTTACTATTTAACAGAAAGTATCAAAAACTTTTTTACCTATATTCATTTTAATTTCGGCTTCCCATTACAAGTAAAATTTTTCTTAGCATGACATTGAAAAAACTTTAGTTGTGTACTTTTTTTGCAATGCCACATTATTTTATTTTTACAAAATATTAACATACAATTTTTTTTCCAGTGAAGAAAAGGAACCGCTGAGGCAACATGATGAGAAACCCTCAAGTGTTGAGTTTGATGGAAGACAGGTGCACACTAAAAGAGGAGAAATCATAGGGAAACACTCAGCAGTTTAGTGTAATAATTGTATAAATTAAAAAAAAAACTATTATAAGACTTTATGCGTACCAGTGTTATGCTATTACTATTATTATGTGCCAAAAAAATGCATACGCCTATTTAATGACAAAAGATTAATGAAAATATTGTTGCTTTTTCAAAAAATATTGTATCTTGGTGTACAAAAACACAATCTATTTGTATGTTTTAAATAGAGGTTACTAAACTAAGTATTATTGCCAAAAATCAATGTATTTAAGTGTAAGAGCTTAAATGTTTGAAAAGCTGTATTAAAATACTTAAATGTCTTTAATCAGTATTATAAATGTTCTATTATTTAATTAAAAAAGTTGTACTTAAGTAAAAAAACATCATCTAATTATAATACTTTGTACTTATTTTTTTACAAATTTAAGTAAACTCATACCCACTTCCGACATATTGTAATGTGTTTTTATTAGATCACACTGTATATTGTTGGTACTCAAGTTCTGAATCTAAAATACACCTAACCAAAGTGTTTTTATTTTGTTTAGAAAAAACTCTCTCAATACATGTTAGTGTCTTAAATGTAACATATAGTATTATAAAGGTTGATTTACTTTATTAAATTTGTGAATCTAATTTTACTGGATTTTACTACTTAATTTTTTTTTTATTATGTATATATTATAAAAATGTATTTTATTTAAAACACAGTTCTCAAAACTCTATTTAGTACTTAAAAACAAAGAAACATATTGACTGAATTGTATTTATTTGAATTCTCATAGACTTTGTATAATCATATTGTTGTAAACCCCCATACACATTCCTGTTTAGATTAATACAGAGGGTGAACCATATATAATAGTATAGCAGACTGAAACTAAAATTAAATATGGCACACTCTGTATAGTCACCTGAGTAATAATAACTGTGCCTAGCTTGTATTAAAAGAAAAACAAATAAATATTTGATCGCTCAGTAGAAAAATGAGGCTTAAAGTATACTAGACGAAATATTTTTCTATGCCAATTTGGACTATATTTCTGATTCATCTCTGATTTGCCAAAAAATCATGACAAACCTATGAAAAATGCAATTTTATGGATTATTTTATTAAACTTTCGGATATAGTACCCGAGAATTCGTATTTTTACTTTTATATAAATTTAGTTAAAATATAAGTAGTTAGACTCTTTGTATGTTTATATTATAGCTATTTATTGTACCAAAGTGTTAGTATTTAATAATTCAAAGATATTATTTTGTTTTTTAATTATTTAAGCTTGAAATCGTTTGGAAACGGTCGATGTAGCTTTTGATATTTCATCAAAAATAAAAAAAAAATCAGAAGGTTGTTTTATTTCTTCCAGTCCTAAAATAATAGGATTTTTTTATGAACGGCAAACAAGAAATCACATAATTAGTTATTGATACATTTTGTTGAATAAAATATAACTCTTTTATATTTCCAAAACTTAAAATAAAAATTGTTATGCAACCAGAGATTCACCTAATAATATGGCATTTGATTCTCTAGTTGCATACCCAATTACAAGATTTGGAGACCTCTTGCGACGCACATTGAAAACATTAAAGAGAACTATACAGAAATTTAGAACTATTTGCACTGTATCAAATAAAGATGTCACTACCAGACATAAAAAAAATGAGTAATACAGGATGTCCCAGAAAGAAGTGCAAGTATTTTAAGGGGTGGTAGATCTCGACAAAAGAAACATATTTTCTCTTCATCGTTTTTTAAATAAGTCCAAAATAACGGAGTTATTTTACTTTGAAAATTTTCAAAAAAATGATTTTTTGCTAAAATTTTGAGAACCACTGGATCTTTTCTGGATTTTCTTTTTTGTAAATTTAATCTAATACCTATGTTGCCATATTATCAAGAAATTATGTTTTTTTAACTAAAAACTAAAAAAAATCCAAAAATGTTTTCAAAAAATTTCGAATTTTCAAAAATTTTTTTTCGCGAAAATAACCTCATAGACGTGTTTCTAGGGTTGAACTATACTACCAGTTAAAATACTTGCACTTATTTCTGCGACACCCTGTATACCATACGATCGAAAACAACTGGCGTCTAGTTGGCTTAGAAATGAACGTCGATGACATTCCCCATGTACTTTTACATACAAAATAACAGCGATTTTTATTTCATAGCCATCGCTGACGCCGTTTTTTTTATCAATCGGTAGAATAGCTATTATAATAGCTATTCTGTAGCTGCTCAGGGCCAGCGGAAGGAAAATATTGAGACCGGGCGAATTCATATTTTGGCGCCCCTAATAATCTCTCTCATTCGATACTATACTTTTAACCACACCTAAGTATTTAGCATATGTTATTTGTTCTTTTAATAATACATTTTTCTTATCTGACTTGATAAACCAAAATGTAGGCTTTGAGGTAATTTGTTTTACAGGGTTCGGCAATAGTGCCTCAGGGTGGTCATTAACTTCTATAGGGTGGCTCAAAAAACTGTGAGTGGATTGGGATGATTGTTTTAAATGGATATGAGTAAATATTTTTCGATAGTTTCAGATATATTAATATTTAAATAAGAAATAAATATGCGAGGGGTGTCTCACTCGGGTAAAAAATGTACACGTACTGCCAAAATACACTTCCACTACTAAGCTACTACCAATGACTATGAAGAAGACTGCCTATGACTGCCATGTAATTATTATAGGCGACTGCCATAAGACTGCCAATGACTGCCAGCGACTGCCAAGAAAATGTACAGGTAATTCCAATAGTGAGACACCCCTCGTAAATATGTTTTAGTCTTCCTTAAAAAAATATTAAAAATACAAAAACAGTCCTGAAATCAAAACTTTATTAGGTGTTTATTTTAGATAGTCTGTACTTACTTTGCTATAAATATGGTAATCGTAAATCATACAGGATGTTCAAAATTCTATGCCAAACTTTCTAAAACAAAATAATTTTTCTCCGTTTTATTTAAATGGAATACCCTGTATACTATTTTTTTATTAGATGGAGAATTAAAAAATGAAAATTTTTTGTATTTAAAGTATTTCAAAAATTTTAATGGTTTCGCAGATACACGCAGTATTATTTCATAGGGCTCTCTCAACGGTAAACACAAAAATACACCCTGTACATTATATTTTCAATAGATGGAGAATTAAAAAATATTTTTTTTTTGTATTTAGAGTATTTCAAAATTTTTAATGGTATCGCAGATATTCGCGGATTGTTGGTAAAATACCTATTTCATATGGCATTTTACCAGGGTTGAAAAAAATGATGATTTTTAAAAAAAAATCAAAAAAATCTGATTTTTTTTATTTAAATCAGATTTTTTTGATTTAAATCAGATTTTTTTGATTTTAATTCAAAACAATATTTTTTCCGAACGGATTTCCGAATGACTAGGACTTATTTCCAATTAAAGTCCTATCTTAAATGGATAAATCCGTTACTTAAATGGATACCCCGTACCGATAACATTAACAATTCTACGGGGAGTTGTGATTTTTCCACATCGGTCCTAATCTAACCAAGATATTCCGCAAAAAAAGTCGTTCGCTTCAGATCAAAAGAATTTTTTTTTTCAAACGTCTGAAAAGTATTAATTTTTGTCATTTTAACGCCTAGGCATAAAAGTACAAAAATATATTATTAAACTGATATTAAGTGTAAAATTCAAGGAGTGTACAAATTGTTGCTCGATTACTGTTTATATTATTTGTAATGTTTGAAATTGATTAAAAAATTATTTGTAATGTTTACAAAAAATGTTATGTTCTATTCGGAGTAAAAATTTACTTTTTGTGCCTCACTGTAACGTCGGAATAGCTTTACGATGGTCCTTCAAAGGTTAGGTTAATACACTATTGTTCCGAAATATTCTTAAGTAGAGAATGAAATTAGTATGTATTATATCTAATGTCAAAGTGTAAAGTACTTACTGCAGATCAAAATGTCGGTATGAATTTGGAAGCATACTTAATATAATACTTTTTATTACTAAAGCATAAAACAACATATTTTCTGACAACGATTATAGATTCTCGGGAATGAAGATATAGTCTCTATATTAGAGGAACTAGTTCTGCACTAGACTTTGCGAATGATATGTATTCGAACAGCGAATTTTGTCACTTATACATAAATTTGAAAATAAATCCCTGCGTTTAGCGGTCTAATGGATTCACACGAAATTACTTAAAAAATCGGTCAAAGAATTAAATTGTCGAATAGATATTTTTCTATAGTTTAATAACATTTACAATTATTTTTCGATTTATTATCTGTTATACCTGGTTATAGAAATATGTTTTATAGTTGTCTAGGACACATTTTTGTAACTTTTACAGTTATCTTTTGATTTATAATAAAGTTTCAATAATTTTTTTTTTATTTAAATCACATTGTTAAAATAAAAAAAATCACTTGATTTAAATCACGATTTAAATCATGATAAATCATTTGATTTAAATCATGCCAACCCTGCATTTTACACATTAAATTTTTATCAAAGCCACCCAATGATTTTTCTCTCGAATTTTACCATTCAAAGAGCCATATGAAATAATACTGCGCGTGTATCTGCGAAACCATTAAAGTTCCAAGTTTTTGGAATACTTTAAATACAAAAAATCTTCATTTTCTAACTCTTCATCTAATAAAAAAAATAATATGTATATAAGGTGTTCCAATTAAAAAAAAAAACAAAGCAAATTAAAGGATTATGTAAAGCGATCTGAACAGAATCCAAAAATGCAATATTATACAGGGTGTTCCATAAAAATATCATCCCGATCCACTTAATTTTTTGAGCCACCCTATAGAAGTTAAAATATTTTCCTGAAATGCATCCTCGTACATACTTTAGGTGTGCACTTAAACAAAATTCTAAATTTTTTTTATTCTAGGAGCTACATATGCCCGACGTGCTATTGCCGGACCCTGTATAAACAAGTAAAGTAAAATATATTATGAGTCTTATTGTGTGGAAGTTTTAATTTTAATTAAAATTACATAGACTCATTTATGAAAAAAAAGCATTGTATTGGAAACCTTATTAGATAGTTGATTATACAGTATGCCGGGTGCGGATCTCAAAGGTGGTTCACTCCTATAACTTTTTTATTTTTTCAGATAAAAAAACGAGATATGGTATGTTAGTATATGACATAAATTAGGATTGATTGACGTATACAATTGTTTTTGGTCACTTCTTGTTTCACCAGAAGTGATTACAACTTTTGATTTTTTAAATGGCACTCTCGGTATTTTTTTATATCATTCGATAGAAAATGACACTCTGAATCGACTGAATTTCGTACCACACACTTGGTATTTCGAGTCAAATTGTCACTATAAACCGCATGTTACAATTTCAAACAAACCATAAGAGAAAGTGTCAAAAGTTTACATATGATATGTCATTCGGGTGCCGAGCTACAGCGGCATCCAAGGCAACGAAAAAGCCGATGAGCTAGCTAGGCAGGGATCATCGGCATCCTATCTTGGTCCAGAGCCAGTACTGGGAATACCCAAATGTATGGCCCGTAGTGCACTAAAACTCTGGATCAAGCACACTGTCCACTGGAGAAACAGACAGGGGCACAGGCACAGCAAGGCTTTTATCCAAGGACCTAGCTCTAAAACCGCAAAAGAACTGCTAATGCTTAGCAGGAATAAAGTGCGGATTACAACAGGCCTCTTGACAGGACACATGGCTGTCAAGTGTTATCTGAACAAGCTCAACCTGTATCAAGGAAGTCTTTGCTGCAGACTCTGCGATAAAGATCCTGAAACAGCGGAGCACATAATATGTCATTGCGAAGCTCTGGATCGCAAGCGACACTCTTTATTTGAGAAAGCTAGGCTAGAACCGGAGGAACTATGCTCCCATCCTATCAAGGACCTGCATAAGCTAGTGCAGGGCATAGGAGAATGGGTGCAGATATAGAAGGGGGACAAACACAATAGGCCTCACAGGTCG